ATCAGAACCAGAAAGGCTAAGCGGCAGAACTTCTCCGGAAAAGAAGGCTGGAGAGAATCTCTGGTGGCCTCCGGACAGAAGACCTCATAGGGTCTCTGGTCCCTTCGCAACAGAACACTAGAGAGCAATTCTGGTGGGGGTCTTCTGGTCGCATCAGAAGTGATCCAACTCTGATGTTCGCACCAGAAGTGCTAGACATATTCTGGTCCGTTACAACGATAAATGCCCAACGTTCTTATCTTTTAATGTTGCGTTAAATGGATAGTTTATGGTCGATTCAATGCCCAACCGATTGGTCATTGATGCCCAACGTTCAGGTCCATTAACACTCCATTTAACACACAACAAATCCTCCTATAAATAGTTGGCAAATGCTTTGCAACAAATATACGTTCTTACACGTTCACAAGCAATCTGCACGTAGTTTTTAGCTCTAAAAAAACACTTCCAGCTACTCCGAAAATTTCTTGAGTGTTCAGCCTTGTTCCCGTTCGCTGGAACTTTCATTTGTGTGCTCAAACGTCAGTTCGTTAGCCACCGTATCCTGGGAAACAGTCATTGCAACGCTCCTAGCACTGTGGGAGGCGACGAATACGTTTTATGGAAATCGTGCGTAGCACGAGCTCTGACTAAACTTTGCTTCATCTGTTTTCTATTTTCTTTAGTCATTTTAATTAATTAATTTTACTAATTATTTTCTTTGTTTTCTGAAACACACCCAAAAATATTTTCCGTGGCAATTCCGTGACAGACTTTGTCACGGAGAATTTTCACTGACAAAAATTTGTCAGGTTTGTGACATCACAGATTTTGCCCGTGACAAAATTATTTATCAGGGATTTTTTAAATAGGGAATTGTGACAAATTGGCATTCTAATTGTTTTTTTGAAGTGAAAATGCAATAAAGTCAAATACAAGATTCAATCATAATACTGTTGTTTCAAATTGATTTGCAAATTTGACTTTTCTTGATCAAACAATTTCATTTTATTTGCTTAATTAGAATGCCAATTTGTAATTATATTTTAATTCGGAGTTTACAACTTTTGAAGAGATTGTAATGTAGTTTCAAAATATATAAATTTTAGTTATTAAAAATTGAATTAATTGTCGATAGGGAACATTGTCTGTTTTAGTTTTTGACCAAAAAACGTTGACTTTGCAAAACAATTTTAGACAGAGGAAATATTCGATAATAAATTGTATATCGAGACAACATCAAATTTAATAGAATTTGGTGTTATTATCGAACATGCATAGCTATTGATTGCGTATATACAAAAATTAAAGATGTTATACCCTTTAATTTTTGTTAATATTTAACATTAACTACATAGTACGTACAAAAAACCTATATATACTATCTTAGCCTTCATTTCATTTTCTTTATTATCTAGTGAGTCATTCTTAGATCTATCTAGTAAATCTTGGGTTGAATTGATATTGGATACATATCAAATTCGTAGATATAACACTTTATATTAACAAGGTATGAGTGTTAGGTGGTTATGATTTATTTATAAAGTTCCCATCACGTCTCGATCGATCAGAATTTGTGGTATTAAACTTTTACGCATGGTTCCGTACCCATGAAAAGGTCAAGAAATCGTACTATACTAATTGCGCGCAATATATTGATTAATTAATCTATATACGATACTTCCTCCGTCCCTTAAAACTTTGTCAAGTTTGACTGACACGTGGATTAATAAAGTAAAAGTTGTGTGATTGAGGTTTGTGCAGAGGAGAGAGAATTAACTGGAATCACAATGTTTTTACTTAAAAGGGAAAGTGACAAAGTTAGTGGGACATCCAAAAAAGGAAATTTGGCAAAGTTTTATGGGACGGAGAGAGTATTTTAAAGGTGTTGTAGAATTGAGTCCACATTTGTTGTGCCCACTTTTATACACACATTTGTACGCATCCTCTTATTTTGTTTGTGTACACAGACAAACACAGACAAAATGATGCTTTCTTCTTAACGAATTATCTGTGTGCAACAACAAAATAGAGGGTGGTATAGAATTTGGTACAAACGTGGGTACAAAGTACAAACTGATTTTTTGCGTAGAATTTGCCTAACCTTTTCTCAATCCTATAAAATCGTAGAAATTATTAAATTATTTCTCTTTTAAGCATAGCTTCCTCTTTGAACTAACGCATTACACGTATGCATGTCAGTGTATATACACGCATGCCCACATGCATATAGCTAGATTAGAAGAATTTATAGTTGGTACCGACTATAATGATATTTGCTCCTCCATTCTTAAGCTCTCCATTAAATATTGCACGGATATTAATGAACAAAAGGTGTTTGATCTTATAATCTATTTTACCAAAAAAGTCTTCTACACCAAAAAGTTGTCGATTAAATTAAATATCAAATGACAAAAGCAGGCTGATGAATTTGAAAAAGAAAAGGGAAAATGGAAACTAATAATACAACTTTTTTGCGGTTTTTTTACAATAATCTCATCTTTTGATTATTCAGGAATAATCCAACCTTTGCACTCCATCTTCATTCAATGGTCTCTGATCGGTTGATGACATGCTATTTCAAATTATTTTCTTATCTTTGCAAAACATTATGTGACCACAATGTGAGATTTATGGTATAATATATTGTAACGATAAGAAAATAACTTGTAATAGCAGGTCATCAACCGGTCAGGGACCGTTGAATGAAGATGGGATGCAAAGATTGAATTATTCCTGAATAATCAAAATGTGTGACTATTGTAAGAACATCGCTAAAAGGTTGAATTATTAGTTTCCATTTTCCCAAAAGAAAATGAGTACAATTGTTACACTAAAAGGAAAAGTTCAAAATTGGGGGAAAGGCAGTACTTTGTTGAACGGAGCATAGAGTTATGATGCATCTAGCTAGGGGCAAGGTGATTTTACCAATATTTGGAGCCCGTTTGGTAGCACGAAAATCGGCTGATTTGGCTGATTCTTCTAAAATTCATGAAGTTCTGACTAAAGTGGCTGTATTGGCTCATTCTGTTGATTTAAAAAAAAAAAATTAAAATGTACTTTATTAATAAAATAAAGAAAAAATTATATGTAAAAATAGCTAAAATGGTCATCTACAGTAACTTCAGCCAATACAGTCAGAAAAGTAACTCCAACCTTGAAGTGTCATGCTAAATTGGAATATATCTTTTATTGTTTTTAGTAGGGTGACTATCTTTAATACGAAGTACTACGTATGTATTTGGAATTGGCAAGGTCAGTTCATGAAAACTTAAAATGATATTTAAAATGTAATCACCCTGAAAAACAAGAGAAGAATAACTATATATAGGCCCTCCTTTTAACTTTTGAACTACTCCGTATATGTTTTATACTTTGGTCAAATGTATAATTATATGAATATTTTTTTATTTACAAAATGCCGAATTCTAAATACTATGTCACATTACTCACATATACATGGACGGATCCAGGATTTCGAGTCAATGGGGGCAAAAATTTTCGATGGTGTAAGTTATAAAAAAATTCACTAGTATAGTGGGGCGATTTTTTTTGCTAGTATAGCGGGCCGAAAATTTTCACTAGTGTAAGGTTCTGGGGCTATTTTTATTCAAAAAAAAATTCATTAATACATATGTACATCACAACATTTAAATCTATATACTCCCTTCATTCCATTGGACTTTGCCAACTTTCCATTTTTTTTATCCCGAAAAACTTTGTCACTTTCCAATTAAATCAACTAATCTGTGGTTCTGCACATTTCTCTATCCTCTGCACAAATCTCAATCACACAATTTTTACTTTTCTTATTTCTCACCTCACTTGGCAAAGTCTACCGGGACGAAGATAGTATTACATTTTAAGTTTAGACAATGACAAAATAACCTTAATTTTATAATTGGAGTGCTCTAGAAACAAGTATTGACACATTAAAGCGTAAGAAATGGCAAATCAAAAGAAAATAATAAAAAATAAAAAAAAGATATATAACATTTTATTTAAATATAACGAGTTTATAAGGTACACATTCACCAATACTTTTAAAACAGTTTCAATATTATTTAACTACGTGAGTCTTATAGAAATAAAGAATTGATTTTTGAATTACAATTTTTGTGTACCATGGAGTTCATAAGTCACAAGGAATTTTTTGAATATTACAATAGTGTGTATGATATTATTATTTTTAGAATAATATTACATTGTTAATTCATATATAGAGTGCATATTATATTTGTATTAATGCTAAAATAATTAAAGTTTATTATCTATGCAATAAAGTCTTTTTAGAAGGTAAGAAGTAAATGAATTGTATAATTTAATGTCAATAAACATTTATAATTTGGATTCACTTCACATGATCTAAAAACTTTGTAGCTAGAGTCTCTCGTATTTAATATCGTTTGATATATATTTTTCGAAATTGTTTACTAGTTATCTAATAAAGATAATTAAACAGTAGAACTAAGATTTTTTATATAATAAGTATCCTAAATCTTAAATAATTAGTTGTTCTATTGTTTATTTAAATTATGTAAATTATTTTAGACGTTCTTTCTTTTAAATCACCAATTAAGTATTACATTATCTAAAACTATATATTAATGGGAAACTTCCCGAAATAGGACTAAAACAGTTTCGAAATTCTAAAATAGGATTTTCATATTTTTTATTCCCAAAATAGGGCCAATTACTGACATGTTTAGAAAATACTGACATGTTTGAAGTCTTGTACTGCCAAAACATGGCATTAATTAGTCCTATTTTGAGAATAAAAATATGGTAGTCCTATTTTGGAATTTTCAAACTATTTTAGTCCTATTTCGGGTAACATCTCTATATTAATTTTTTTTTAAAAAGTTAAGGGGCAATGTTCAAAAAAAGTTAAACGGAGCGAATCTAATTAAAGTATCAAAATTTTACAAAATATTTAAATTATTAAATTGAAATTTTTTGATCCGTTCATATCATGAAGTAGGATACCTTCAATGTACCTTAGAATTTGCCTTTCTTTTTATGATCATTCAACGGGCCTGCAGAAGTCCATTGGGAGGAATGACATAAACATACGAGTTTTGTACTTTTGTTGCGGCATTCAAATGTTACTATGTTAGAGCTTTCCAGTGTAATACTTTAATAAAGTTTAAACAGGAAAATAAATTTAAAATGAAAATTCCATTTAAATTTCTGTAGCAAATAGATCTATGAAAAGGGAAAGATAGACAAAAAGGGAGAGGGGCTTCATTTTTCTATTTCCTGAGCCAGAGGATCTGGGAAAAGGAAAGGAAAGCAGACTCAAATTTCACAGAGAAGAAACATACCGTCTACTGTCCGAGCCCTCTCCCACCAAATTAAAAAGAAAGGGGCCATCTCCAAAGTAAAGAAGAGCAGAATTCAAAATCCGGGTCTCTGTCTAAGCATCAGTTCCAAGTCTGGGTGGGACAGAGAAAATGGTGTTCATTGAAGAAGAGATGATTAAGCAGCTCCATGCTTTAATCGAAAACAGTGAGTGATCTTCTCTGTACTCTCTCATTTTGTGTTTATATGTTTCAGTTTTGTCCTTTGGATCTGGAATTCATTTTAGGTCTGGTGACATTTCCTCTCCTTTTATTAATTTTTATTTTTAATGTATTGCAGTTGATAGCCAACTGATGAAGACTTTCAAGGTTTTTCTTTCTCTCTTTTTTCCTTCTAGATTTGTAAAGTTCAGAACTGATATCTCATTTGGAACTTCTGTCGTTTTTATAATTTTTTTGTGGGTTTCGCGATAAAGCTCTTGACTTGGTGGTTCACCCGGAATTTCTTTTGAAGATATTCATTCCACTTAAACCGACCATTAGTCAATGAGTAGTCAAATAGGTGCTTGAATCTTTTGATTAGATTCACTTTTGCAGCTATGCTATTACTTGTTAGTGTGTGATAACAATGGGCTGGAAATGCTGAGGTGTGATTTATTTCACAATCTTAGCTTTGTAGCTAAATCCAATCTGATGGATGATTACTGCAAGCCAGGATTTGTATGTGGCACTTTTGGTTATGGTTCTCTTCAGCACATGATATTTAAGTCACAGTCATGGGATTTTGAGCCACAGCCGTGTAACTCCCAGTTGATGGGATTATCATCTCGTATTGCTGGTGGTGTAAAAAGACCAAATAATGTTGAAAACCTCTAACAGGGGCTTGCTCACCATGTGATCTGACCAAGTTCCATCTCAAGGCGATAGAAGATCTCAGTTTTAATTTAATTTTCTCATGATCTCTATTAATGAATGGAAATGAATGTTTATAGTCCTGAACTCAACAAAAGATTGTACAAATAGTAATAGGGAAGCTAGTCTGGTGACTTTAAGGGTTTGTTTGGAACACATAAAGACTAGAGAGATAAAATAGGTAGGAAAATAAAATATATAAAATCGGTAGGAAAATACAGTAGAAATTTGAAAAGGAAGGAAATGTATATTAAAATAAAACATTGGTTTAACTGGATAATGTTTATATGTTTGTTTGAATTTTTAAGTAATTAGTTTATTATTATCTTGTGTTTAAATACTAAGCTGAAAAAGGATCATGTGAGAAATACATACCAGTGAAATATAACTTATAGTAACAAAAATATAACTTTTAACACAAAATCTATAACTTCGTGATAGTCTTTTTACTTCAAGGAATTTCTTGTAAAACTAATCAATAACAAGTTATATGATTTGCCATAAAAGTTAAGTTTTTGTTATTTCTAATTATATTTTGTATGTGAGAGTTTCTTAGTCAATCCTTTCCCATACTAAGCCATCTAAACATATGTAATATTTTGAAAACATCAATCATATTTCATATTCTTTTGCATTTCAAGACGTGAATCCAATCTAAAGATTTTTTTTAAGCATTTTCTTAAGTTTCCACAACATTTTCTGGGATCCTAACATAGACCAAGGATAACTGTATATGAAAAGCGAATAAACTAAAGAAATATGAATAGTAATATGGAAGCTAGTCATACCACTCTAATGAAAGTTAATAAAAGATATATTGGTCCATGAAACCCAATCATATAACAATACAACTTTCGTGATCAGGTGCACCTTCTATCGTATAACCATACAAGTTTCCATCACTCACATCTCATATGGATTTATTTTCTCCATGAAACTCTTGGATTTTAGGATATTTTCTTGATGTAGTGTTTAGTAATTCTCAGTTAGATGGATTATAAAATTTGAGTAGTTATTTAAATACTCCATATTCTGACTTTGCAGAATGTGCATCAAGGGTACCAATCTGAGACTTTGGTGAGGTTTCTAAAAGCCAGGGACGGGAATGTATCTAAAGCCCATAAAATGGTTAGATGCTATGATGCATAAGTTGCTATGTATCTGTTCATTGTTCAAGGCTCAAGCTATATGCGGAATAATGTTTTCAGATACATATTCACCTAACCTTTTCCATTCTTTCTAAAACACTCTACAGTTGACTGACTGTTTGACCTGGAGGACCCAAAATGAGATTGATAATATATTAGCTGTAAGTTCTCATTCATATCTTACAAGGTTATCTACTCATCTATGTGTATATATGATATTGCATTTGCTGCGTTTCTGTATTTCATTCTCACTTGTTTATTACTCCCTCTATCCTAGTTAGGTAAACTTTTTCTGTCTGTTCCAAGATTATGATCACATTTGTATTTTGAGCTCCACGTCCTTTTTACTTTCTGACTTTATTCTTTTGATTATCATCTCGCCTTTTATTTTTTGAAGCCTCATACTGTTTTTTCTTTCTTCTAAAAGTTACAGCGGTGAAATACCAAGTATCTGCTTTATTTTCTTAAACTCGTGTCAAACCTACACCAACCATAAATTTTACGGAAAGTGTGAGCATTATTTATGATAAAACTTTGTCTGTAAAACCTTACATTTTCAATCTTGATTTTTGCCTTTTGCAGAAGCCAATCATCCCTTCTGAGTTGTACAGGGAAATTCGGGAATCTCAGCTCGTAGGGATGTCCGGATACTCTAAAGAGGTACTTCTAACAACTGCACTTTTCAATAAGTACAATATTAATATACTGATGTAGCATTGTACCTTCCCTTTTCTTGTCCTTTAATCATCATGAGAGGTATGTTGCATCTAACTGATATGATGCTAACTTATGTTTTACTTTTCCTTGTAACTTACAGGGCCTCCCTATCATTGCTGTTGGTCTGGGGCTAAGCACATTTGACAAAGCATCTGTAAGGATCTTGTTTCTTGCCTAACATAGCCCTGTTAACTTGGCCTATCTAAAAAGTTATTACTACAATAATTTAATATTTAACTTGGCCTTCCGCTCTGTTTTTTCTCAGAATGAAGTCAATTTTTGTTTCTTTTGATATTTACGTGTTTTCTTTTTTTTTTTTCATTAAGGTTCACTACTATGTTCAATCACACATCCAAATGAATGAATACCGTGACCGGGTCATATTGGTCAGTGCTTAATTTGTATCGGTATAGATTCTAAAGATTGCTATAATTTCTTATCATGTAAACTAATTTATTATTGTTTTCTAGCCTTCTGCTACCAAAAAATTTGGGCGCCATATAGGTACATGTATAAAGATATTGGACATGACTGGTCTTAAGCTTTCTGCTCTAAATCATATTAAGGTATCATTGGGGTATCTTGTCTTTGTTACTCCCTTTGTATCTTTATATTTTCCTTTTTGAAACGTGCCTAAATAATCTTACTTTTCTTTTTAAAGTAAAAATGTGCTCATTCTTCTACTCTTTCTAAGTAAATCTCAAGTGCACATTTTCCAATTTCTTCAACCCCGTGCCAACTCTAATTTAGAATATAAAAAATAGGGGCAGAGGGAGTTTTTATTGACTTTTTGGATTTGTTTTTGCATTTGTCATAGGATTTTCCAATGATTATTCAAATTCCAATCTGAACTATTTTCCTTTTTCCAGCTACTGACTGTTATATCTACCATCGATGATCTTAATTATCCCGAGAAGACTGAAACATATTACATTGTTAATGCACCATACATATTTTCAGCTTGCTGGAAGGTTTGGCTTTGTATTTTTATCAATACTAGCAGACTTGTAGTGCAACATGAGTGACTATGTGTAATACATTCCATGCTTGCAGGTTGTGCGCCCTCTTTTGCAAGAAAGAACTAGAAAGAAAGTTCAAGTCTTGTCAGGGTCAGGAAGAGATGACCTGTTGAAAGTATGCAAATTCCTGGCTTTGTTGTCTTGAAGTTTTTGTAGTTATTGTATCATAATTTTGTTGTTGAAATAATTACATAAATATGACTAAAATAAAGAGGATTTACAAAAATATGACTATTGACTAGAATAGTAATGAAATCATAGTAATTCATGTTCAAGTTTTGAGCTTAAGTTACTACAACACCACATTGTAGTAATGAATAGTCATATTTGTGTAAATATGTTTTATTTTAGTAATATTCTTGTAAAAAACCCTTTTTTGTTACCACCTTGATGATAGGTCAATATTAGTAGTCCAACCTTATATTTTCAAAAGTCAGTCCCACTACTCCTTGAGCTTTGATTATTCTCGTAATTTCCCCTCCCGTCATTATTTATTTTACTCCGTATTTGATTACATTCTATGACAAACCTAATGGAAATGGTATAAAGTATCATCTGCATGTCTTAAAAGTCAAATAATTTCTTCATCAATATAAGTCGTGATTGCTGGTCGTCATTCCTGTGTCTGCTACTCTAAAAGACATTTCTTCCGTTAGTAGCTAAGACAATGGAATAACGAGCAAGAGTAATGTCTTGTATATAATGATAAATGAAAAGTTTTTTGAACTTTAAGAGCAGTTATTTTTAATAGATTTAGCATTTGTACTGTCAAATGAGGTAAATATTAACGGCAGAGGAATAATAAAAATTGTAGCATAACTAGTCGGCTTTTGAAACCACAAGGCTAGGAAGTTGGGTTTGTAATTATGAGCTTATGGCCTAATAACTTCAAGGGGTAACAATAATGATTTCTCAACCCCCTCCCCCCTGAAATCCATTTATATGAGTGATGTCTGTCTAATACCCTATAAAACTCAAATTTTCAGATAATGGATTATTCATCAATCCCTCATTTCTGCAAAAGAGAGGGCTCCGGGTCTTCGAAGCATTCTAGGAATGGTACAGTGGATAATTGTTTTTCCCTGGACCATGACTTTCACAAGCAGCTATACAATTATGTTAAACAGCAAGCAGCGCATTTAGCCCCCGATGCACTAAAGAAAGAAGGGTCTTTTCATGTAGACATCCCCGAACCAGATTCTCATGACACAAAGATAGCTGAAACTTTGGAATCGGAATTTCAAAGACTGGGAGAAAATGGCATTTCCAAGTCAGCTCCATGAACAAAACCTGGGTCTGCACTATTGTCTAGTCGGGTTTCTGTTCAGATGAGAGAATGTTACTACGCTTAGGCATAAAATATCTTAGTAGTTCTACCGGCTGGCAGTTGGCATCTTCTCGATGCCGGCTGGAGTTTGGGTGGACATTCAATTGGATAATAAGTCATATTGCCTGAATATGCGAGAGCCTATGGTTGCTCATCAACAGCTGCTACTGCTTTACTAGTTAAATTAATGCCTGTTTATGAAATGCATAAAGACATTCATAACATTAATCACGTTAGGACACCAATGAATATGAAAGTAATAACAAGACAAGCTGGTAGGGATGTAGGATCTACCCAATTCCCGAGCCATATTTGATAGAACTCTCTCACTTGATCCCCAGAGTCCCACACTATATTGAGTTATTGACATAGCTATGGGCCCATCGTCCCTGATTATCAACTTATCAAGATCACTGAAGTGGGCCTAAAGTAGGGATGGACTCTAGTCCGGGCTGGGTCCGGGTCGGGCCTAGGCCCGGGCGGGCCGGCGGTTCAAGAATAGTGGACCCGGGACCGGCCCGGGTAGCCACCGGGTCCGGTCCGGACCTCCGGTTTGGATTTTTTTTTTCTTTTTTTGCTTTCCTACCCCCCCCCCCCCTCACCCCCACCCTCCCAAACCCCCCAAACCCATCCTACCCATCAAGCCCAACCCGGGTGGAACCCCAAAAATGAAAAAAAAAAAAAAAAAATTCAATTTGGCCCGGGCCCGACCCGGCTGGGGCGGTTCACCAAAAGTGAGACCTGAGCCCGGACCCGCCCTACCCCCCGGGCCTAGGCCCGACCCGGACTCGAGAACCGGGCCGGTCCCGCACAGTAGCGGGCCGGGTGGCCCGACCCGATTCCAACCATAGCCTAAAGTTTCATATTTAGGTATTTTTTTATAATTTATAAATATTTGCATTTATATTAAATTCATGCAAGAGTTTTTTGTATTGAGGATCTTTTTGGGTGAGGACGTGAGGTAGGTGAAGCCCCATCCACCACTTGTTTGCTCTTCTATAGCTTTCTACGGACGGACTGACCTAGGGGTGGACTGGGCTGGGCCGAACCGGCCCATGAACCGGACCAGCCCGCTACTGTGCGGGTCCCGGACCGGACCGGGACCGGATGGCTGGTTCCGGGCTTTAGCCCGGGTTGGGCGGGCCTTGCCGGCCGGGCTTGGGCCCTATTTTTCTTGAACCGGCCCGGGCGGTCCGGGCAGGGCTTGGTTCATTTTTTATGTTTTTTCAATTTTTTTTCTTTTCCTAGGGTAAAGCTGGGTGTTTTGGGGAGGTTTGAGGGGTGGGGGTGAGAGGGGGGGGGGGGGTCGGGGGTTAATTAGAAAGCAAAAAAAAAAAATAAACATTGGACCGGCCCGGATCGGCTCGGCCCTGGTCCGGTTTGGCCCGGTATCAACCTAGGTTGGTTCCGGGCCCTACATCTGAAAAAAAGCGGCTTGAGCCCGGCCCGGACTGGGCCCTGTCCATGCCTAGACTGACTTATCATTGCATTTGGATGTTTGTTATCAACGGACTTTTGAAATTACCCTTGAGGTTTCGGGTAATGAAAATTAGGGACCGGAACAAAGTCCATTATATTCGGTCCGAGTTAGGTTTTCAAAAGCTCAGGTTCGGTCCGGGTTCGGATTGGGGTGGTTAAAGCCCGAACATAAATCATCTCATTGCCCTTTAGGCCCCTTTTATATTTTAAAACCTATTTTCAAATAAAATTAATTAGAAACACAAACCACAAATAATAACACAATTATTAGTCTCTGAAATCACCAACAATTCAAATTCAAATAAATAATACAGGTTTTCTAAAAATATTACGTAGTATGAAATAAAATTTATGGATAAAAATGTGACTAGAATTACTATTAATATATTTTCATGGTCATTACTTATTACGGTAAACAAATTGAACATATTTGTAGCCAGTTAAAGTTAGTCATTTTTTCATCCACCATGACTATAAAGTCTACAATCATATACTCCCTCCGTCCCGTAATGAACTTCTCACTTTCATTTTTTGGATGTCCCAGAAATAAGTTCCCATTTCCTTAAATGACAAGTAAATCTACATCAAAACAGTGTCAAACGGTGCAAAACAGTGTCAAACAGTTTCGAAACAATGTAAAACAGTGTCAAACAGTGTCGAAACAGTGTCAAAACAGTAAAATATACCCCATGGTAAGTCCATTTCCTTAATATGTGTGTAGGTCAAACTGTGAAGTTCATTGTGGGACGGAGGGAGTATTAGGAAATATTTATAAACTATATCCTTATATTATATTGATTTTAAATTAAATATAATTATTTCGGGTTTTTATCAGTCCGGGTCAGGTTATAGATTTTAGGGCCCGTTAATCAACTCGAAATTTCGGGTTCAGTCCAGGTTTTGTTATTTGATCCGGTTAAAAAGAAAAAGTCCCGAATCGAAATCGTAATTCAGGTTGTGTTAGGGTTGATTTCCGGATTTCGGTTTGGTTTTTCCCACTCCAACTTTTCGGGACGAAGACAGTAACAAAAAGGGTTTTGACTATGAATTGGCAAAACTTCCCTCTTAAGTATGACCTCTCTCTCGGAGCACTTAAAACTTACTTGGCGCACCAGTTATTTCTCATATATGAACAAGTATGACCGCTTCCTTTATTTTTCACTAGATTTTTTACCCGTGCGTTGCATGGGATGGATGATCTAGTTATTAGATTTTGTAAATGCTTCTTTTAGTATAATTGTAAAGATTTATGTCCATAACATTTTAGTAAAGTATATATGTATAACTATTGATTGACTAATCCTCATAGTTACATTTAAAAGATTTGAGCACATATAACTACCACATGTGAAAAATGCATAGTAAAAAATGTTACTCTTTTGAACCATTACAATTATCAATATTTATAAATATTATATTTATAGATATTTCTATATAGAGAAAAGTTCACCTCCGGAATTCCGGAGGAGAACCTCCGTCCGGCCCGACCTTATCAGGTGGTTTCCGGTGGAATTTTTGATAATTTTCTTAGCACGTTCTTCATGAAGTGTAGGTAATATCCGCCATATTTCATGTAAAAATTGAATCGGGAAGGGAATATATTGTCATTTAAGTGTTCATTATTTCTTAAAAAAGAAGGGAATAGTTATACGCCGTAATCAAATTTCTAAAAATTTCAAATTTTAGTAATAGTGATTCAGTATAAATGCGGTGTGCATGGGAGGGACTGTTTGAGTGAACACCGGATGGTGACAACCATCAACTCACCTTATCTTTGAAGTGTTTGACTACTTCGGCGTCTCACGAAAAATATGAGATTACTTTCAAGTACTCCTGATGGGAAGAGTACCATTGAAAATTTTGGTGAATGTGTTTTGAAATCGAAGATGGTGATATTGGACATCAAGTAGATGGAGTTGCACAAGTCGAAATCAAAAATGAATTTAATTTCTTGTCAAGGTGAAATAGTTATCATAACTTGCAAGAATGTCTCAACGATCCAACTTTTTACCTGCAAGAAAGAGTGATACTTGCACCTACATTAGATGTTGTTCGCCATATAAATGACTACATGCTATCCTTGATTCTTGGTGACCAAGTCACGTACCTTAGTTCAGATAGCATTGTTAGTTCATATATTGGTTTATGTCGTGAGAGAAACATGTACACACCTAAATTTCTTTACAGTCTGTCAATCTCATGATAACCTGATCACGAATTGCATCTAAAGGTTGGTGCCCAAGTTATGTTCTTGAAAAATATATACCATAGAGTGAGATTATGTAATGGAACAAGGTTGATGATACCAAGCTTGGAAAACATGTATTAGAGGCAAGAAAATATCATCACTGGAAGAAATGTGGGAGACATAGTTCACATTCTTAATGTGTGATTATCTCCATATGACGTAACACTTTCTTTATATTTTTAGAGGAAACGCTTCCTGGTTAAGTGGTTATGGTATGCTTTGCGATGAGCATAAACTAAAGTGAAGACCATCCTCAGTCTTTATCTCAGGTCGGATTAAATATACCTCGAGAAAAATGTCTTCACACACGGCCAACTGTATGTTGCCATATGAAGGGTCAAGAGTAAAGGTGGATTAAAGATTTCAATTCGCTTTAAAGATCGGGGATTTTCCACCAACACCATAAATATTGTGTTTAGAGTGGTCCTTGAAAATTTAGGAACATAGCCTTTCAATTTTTTAATGTCTCTTAGTCATGCTAAGGTATTACGGATTTTATATTCTTTCTTATTCCATTATGAAGTATATTATATCATGAAAATGACATGTATATTACTTATAAAGTTTCCATGTACAAAAATGTGACTTGTAATATTTTTGGACAAAAATATGACTAGTCACTATGTACGAGTAACTGGACACGAGTCACTATAGTGTATTTCAGAGTAACAAGTCATTGGTAGATGATGAGTCACTAAGAACTAGTCACTGAATATGTCACTTTTTTTGGAAAATTTAAAATCAAGTCCTATTTTTGTCTTTTGAATTTAATTTAGTAATATTCATGAAAAAAGACCTATATCATCATATTACTAAAGATTTATGTGTTTTTGTCAATAGAAATTACAAATCCCAAAATTCACATGAAAGAAACATTATACATGTCACACCCCAGGGCCCAGACCACATCTAAGCGCGTGTACAACCGCCGTGTGATCAAGTGACGTCACTCGCAAGCCAACCTCACTTAATCACACAAGGCGTTCATGAACATCGTTCACACCATACTCAGTAAGTAAACATACATAACAACATCACATCATAGATTGAATGAATAGCGGAAAATATTCAACGATCAATCATAAGCCACATATGGCAAAACGTAGGCTCGCAGACCTAAAACAAAGTAATTTTTCAAAAGTATCCATGAGCATAGTTTATAATTTAAAATAGTAAAGGAAGCACGAACCACGTCTTCCTCTAGATTCTTTCCACCCGTGCAAAGGTGTAGACAACATGCTCTAGCTTCAACCTGAAATGGTGGGGCCCCCCGAAGGGGTCTGTACAAGTACCGAGCGAGTAGCAAGCTAAATGTAGAGTAACTAACGTTTCAAGTATAAGACCCAAACATAGGGTGATACATATACTTATACTCCTTTACCCCAATTTATAAAATATATATTGGTACTTATATACACTTGGAAATACCTGACCCGTAGGTCATTGTTTATTTGGGAAAAATATTAGTAGTCAATGTCCTTGACTTAAAACCCCAACCCACCCATAGACCTATGGGTGTATAGGACTCCTCCTGTCCAAGTCAAATAATCATAAGGACATCGCCTGACCCTGAATTACTAATCAGTAATCTATGAGTTTTGAGGATACACGCCCGATCCTTGGGTACTCCACCCTATATAACCGAATTTTGAGGATACGAGCTCGATCCTGGGGTACTCCACCACTCCACCCTATATAATCGAGTTTTGAGGATACCGCCCTATCCTTGGGTACTCCACCCTACATAACCGAGTTTTGAGGATGCCGCCCGATCCTTGGGTACTCCACCCGACATAACCGAGTTTTGAGGATACCGCCCGATCGTTGGGTACTCGACCCGACCTATGATCTACCACTTATCATACTAGATAGGGTCTACACCATAATCAATAAACAAGACTAAACCAAGTCTTAAGGCCTAAGCAAAATCATCTATGCAATTCATGCATAAAAATCAACATATGGGCAATATAAGGTCAAACCGGCGCCGGTTAAAACCTGACCAGCGCCAATTCATGATTTAATCAACTGAATCGTACTAAGCCATCAACAGACCGGTGCCGGTTCTATGCATAACCGGCGCCGGTTGCCCCCTGGGCAACCGGTCAACTCTCAATTGACCCGTCATTTCAAATCCAATGTGTGTCAAACTTAATCTATCACAACATGTATTAAGTTATAAACAACCATTTTATGCACCTTTTATCTCTAAACATATCACATATGTTTTATAAACATTTTCATTTCACAAATCATGCATATTTCAATAGTTCATTTCATACAAGGTTAAGCCTAATCACT